AGCAAGTGTCCTTATCACTGAGCCATCCTTCCAGCCCCTGAGCTTTTGAATTCTTCCAGACATTGTATGTTACGGCTGTTATAAAATGTCTGCTTTTCCTGACGTACCCCATGGCTTTCTTTGATTCTCCATTTCTATTTGATGTCACAGAATTGTGTTCTTCAGAGCTCCTTGATCTCTGAAAATGCTTAATAGCTGCATGTATGCAATAGGTGAAGATGTCTAAGGCTTTCTAAGTGAAGACTCAGCTTCTCTCCTGTGCTCAGTGTAAGTCAGCGAACCCAGGAATATTTTTTGTTGTTTAGATAAAAGGCCACTACTGAACGAGAGAAGGCAGTGGTTTCACGGGCAGAAGGCAGCCCAACAGCTGTTTACACCATGTGCTTTATCTCTTCCCTTGCAAACTAGCGGTCACTCAGGAGAGGGCGAAGTGAAATCCTTCTGTATGAATTAGCACACACCTCTGCTGTCTCTTTCCCTTTTATTCATATGAGCAACTGATTCATACCTTGCTATTGGTCACCTCATCTTGCAGGCTGATGGTTGGTCTCTGGGGCTCAGAAATACATCCTGTGGCCACCAAAGGCTTTCCTTCCCTTGTCTTCATGCCTAAGGAGAAATTTCTGCCTTGCAGTTTATTATTTGTGTCCTGGCAGGTGAATATTTTGACAAGAGTGCCACCAAAGAAGTAATGAGAGGGGCAGTGGCCATTTGGGCTTGATGTCGTTTCCTCAAGTCGATCCAGTTTGGGGCATTTTTCACACACATGCTCATAGAGCTGTCATCCTCCTGTGAAGCTGGGACACTGGCACGAGATCCCTGAATCGCTAGGAAGAGCTCATAAATTCACCTTGGGGCTTTGTATGTATGACCAAGATTAGATGCATGCCACTTTTACCTAACTGCATGAGGTCTTCTATTGTGGGAACAAAACCCAGTTTAAAAGAGATCAAATGAAGTCTGATTTTCCTGCCACCTTCCGGTGGAGAATAAATGATCCCTCTTTCTGTCCAGTACAGCTGAAGGACCATGAATTGCCAACTAGAAGCACACGTTAATCAGTGTGTTGGTGGCAGTCACAAACTCAGCCCTGCTAACTGCACTCAGAAGAGGAAGTGGGCTTTTGGTAGCAGAGCTAAGCTCCTGTAGGCTGCACACACAATCCTCCTGTGCAGCCCACCAGGAAGCACCAAGGCATCCATTGTAGGACCCAGGCCTGGGTGCAGATGCATTCACAGCAGCTCCCAGGCCGCCAGCAGTGTTTCTTTTCACTCTGATGTATATATAAGTGCTGTAGTTTTTGTCGTCTTTTCAGAGTCTCTCTTTAGCCCCATTATATCTAAGCCCTGCATTTGCACCCCATGGACTCCCCAGCTAGTCTTCTTTTATGGTGAAATCCATGACCAAATTCACCATCTTTGGGTGTGTGGTAAAATTAATGTATTCACAGCACTGTGACCCCACTGTCGTTGTTTATTTCTAGCATGTTTTCTTCTTCCCAAACAGAAACTTGGAAGCCATCAGACAATAGCTGTCCCTTTCTTCTCTTCCCCAGGCCCTTGCAGCTCAGCTTTATGATATAATAAGGGTGACTCACGTAAATGGTATCGTTTAATAACTGTCCCTTTGTGGATGGCTTGCTTTGCTTAGACTGGCGTCCTCATGGTTCATCCGTGGAATAGCCTTCCTCCTTATGGCTGAGTAATTTTCCAGCGCACGACTATGCCACATTATACTTACCCATCCATTGGTTTACCAATATCTGAGTTGTTCCCACTTTTGAGCTATTGTAAATAGTGTCGCTGTGAATTTCATGTACAAACTACCTTCCAGGAAAGAAGAGACTAAGTTTAGAACAGAGAGGTGAAGAGGGTCTTAATCTATGCAAGAGGTTCATCACATCAGACTAGCGCCTCCGGAGGCTGTGACCTAACCTCTGGAGTGGCATTCCCTTTATGAGATAGGACAGGCATTAAAGATAATTATACAGGCCAGGCAGTGGTGGCACACACCTTTAATCCCAGCACTCAGAAGGCAGAGGCAGGCAGATCTCTGAGTTCGAGGCCAGCCTGGTCTACAAGAGCGAGTTCCAGGACAATCAGGGCTGTTACACAGAGAAACCCTATCTCAGGGGGAGGGAGGGATACAATGACAGCATTTGTATTATTTCCTTTCTGACCCTTGTTTTCAGCTCTAATCTAGACCCCCCCCCAAAAAAAATGCTTTAAGTTGCTAAATTTCTGTCTCATATGTTCAGTCTTAATGTCGAAAAGAAAATTAGCTTGGAGACTCAAAAGATTTAACTCTTGTAATCCGCAAGATCCTCAATAGAAAGTGGCCCACGGTTTTTCTTGGTTTCATCGGAACCTGCAGGTGCTTTTCTATGTCACCAGCAAAGGGGACAGTAGTGAGACAGTTTATCTTTGCGCAGTGTATTATCCCCATGGGTATAGTAAACCTTGTAGCAGGTTTAGGGCATGAACATAAAGCCATTTAGTCCAAGTTTTCTTTTTTTTTAAGTTGATTTACTTGTATTTTATGTGCATTGGTGTTTTGTCATAGGCATCATGTCCTCAGGAGCTGGAGTTACAGACAGTTGTGGGCTGCCATGTGGGTGCTGGGAATTGAACCTGGATCCTCTGGATGAGCAGTTAGTGTTCTTAACTGCTGAGCCATCTCCCCAGCCTCTTTAAAGTTTTCTAATGGGTAGCGGGGAAGTGCTGCTAAATTCCAGTTGTTTTATTTTTGTTATTTATATGTACGTGCATGTGCCTGCATAAATATATGTACACCACATGCATGCAGGAGCCCAGAGAGGCTGGAAGAGTACATCAGACCTCCTGGAACTGGGGTCACAGGTAATGTGTGCTGGAAGCCAAATCTGGATCCTCTGCAAGAGCTCCCAAACTGCTGAGCTGCCTCTCCAGCACTCAATGCTAATTTTTAAGAATTGAGAATAATGTATATAATTTACCTCTCGGGGGGAGGTGTTGTTCTTTTTAACAGAGAGCAGCAACAACCTTAGACTCTTTAAACTGTTCGATAATAATCCTTCAGCCAGTTAATCCCTGACATAAACCCCCGCAGCATCTGCAGTGCTCTGGATACACGGTTCCCCACTTAAGAGTCTTTGTGCTCACAGACCGCATCACTTCAAGTATTCGTCTTCCATCTCCTTCCCCTAGTTCCCAGGTTCCACCCCAGGTTGTTGTAGGAGGTAAACTGCTATTCTTGGCTTCTGTTTTGATCTCACTGGGACTACGCTGAGTGGCAACACTGACAACTTAATTATTTCATTCTTGTGGCCTAAATTTATATACCTGCTTAAAACCTAAAAATAATAAGTAGGTTATACTTTTTTTTTCTTCCAGAAGAAATAGTCAAGACCACTGCTTGGGCAATGAATATGTATTTATATTCAGTAGATGTTGCCTCCCCATCCCAATTCATGGTGGATTTTTTTTCCCATTTCAAAATACATTACACGTAAGAAAGTGAACTATCCATATCCAATTCATGATAACTACACTCATACTATTAGTTACTGATTGGGGTTAAAAGAAGGAAAGTGTTATAGGAATGTTAACCATATGATGATACTGTCACATTCTGGTAGAAGGTTTCTGAACTCCTGTTTCCTAGGAGATGAGCAGGCTTCATTCCAGCTGGGCATCCTCAGTGGTAGAGCCGAAGTGTCCGTCCCTACTCACCCTGATAAGTTATGTGCTATGTGGTTGAGCAAAAAAATTCATATATTCTTCATACCTTTTCAGCTGCATGGAGGGTAAAACAAAATGCCCACTTTGATAGTAGATAGAAAGCAGCTTGAGTCAGCACTCAGAATTCCAGGAAAATGAGCTCGGTATGAGTAATCAGGGTCACAGTTGGCTGCATGAACGAATCCCAGTGATTCTGAACCCCTCCCCATGTGACCCCAAGTCAAGGTTGAGTGCCACAAGTTAATTTGAAAGAGAAACTAGGTAGGAGAGCATCATAGTCATCCGAGTGAGAAGTGGTGAAACATACGGGGACATGAGCAGTGAGATTATCGGTGATGGGCCCACCAGAGACAGAGTGAAGCGCGTGGTGTCAGCAGCTCAGGACAGGGTCTGATTATCGGTACCTCCAGAACAGTCAAGGAGCAACCATAATACAAAATCACAGGAAAGCTTCAAAACTATTTCAAAACATTGAGATAGATAAATACATTGCTATGTATCTATATCTATATATAGATATATGTGTATTGATATATAGGTATATATGTTGGTATATCTAGATGGATAGATAATACATTAATATATGCATGTGTTCGTATATATTTATATATGGATCTATATGTATTGATATATAGATATGTATTGATATATATTGATAGATGGATAGAGACATATATTGGTATGTGTATGTTTGTGTGCATATATCTATATATGTTGATATATAAATATATGTTAATATATATGGATGATAGATAGATAGGTATGTAGATAGACAGATAGACATTAATGTTGCCATGTCTCAGAAAACTGGCTTAGTTCACAAAGAGCAAGAAGGCACTGGGACCATATGAGCAGCAAAATATAGCACTCACACAGGGAGAGAAGCTGCTTCTGAATGTATAAAAAACTCAAGGCCAAGACTGTAGCAATCACATAAAGCAAACCAGTGTGGTACACACCTGCTACCCCGACCCTTGTGAAGTGAAGACCAAAGGGTTTTGAGTTTGAGGTCATCAGGGGTACATGAAACTCTCTCTCAAAAACTGGGTAGAGAAAGAAAGAGGAAGGCAGGTAAGGGCAACAAATTCAGGGTAAACAGCAGATGCTGGTGGGTCAGAGAAAGCACCACCCCCCCCGAGATGGTGGCACACACAAGTGACTGCTTCCTGTGATGGTCAAGGTGGTACTGCTGTCTGGGTGTGTCCCTGAAAGGGGCGCTGCTATGATCTGCTCTAAATGTGACCCGGAGGGCCTCTGACCTTGTCCCCTTCTGTCCTGCAGGAATAGATAATCTCTATGAGAGAGCGCTTCACATCCGCAAACTGCTCCTGACCTTGCCCAGGTCGGTCCTTATCGTGATGAGATATCTGTTTGCCTTCCTCAATCAGTAAGTACCCCACGTCCTGTCAACATGCCTGTCTGCATTCTGCCTGTGTTCTGTGTTCTAGAGTGCTATGCAGCGTGCGTGGAGTTCCATCCATCAGCAGAATCAAAGGGGGAGTGATTGAATGTAAGCAGAGGGCACATTTTTTACCTCCGGAGATCAAGGCCTTTTTGTGATACATGAAAAGTCTGGAGAAACCGTGGCTGCCCATATATATAGAACATATCCAGAACACTGCTATAAATAACATTTTCCAGTGAAATATGTGCTTTTTCCAACTTCCATGCAGAGCCCATGTCATTAATGTTTTTGTCAAAATGATGTGAACAACCTTCTCCTAGCCAAAAAAAAAAAAAAAAAAAAAAAATTAATGTAGCCAGGATAGAGGGGGATTATAGATGGTTTAAACATCAATCCAAAAGCAGAATTTTCACACATTCGCTCTATTGAGTCCTTGTCAAGAAGAAAATATTTGTCTTGCAGTTGCTACTGTGTTGAAACGGGAATCTGAAGAGAGCACCACATTGTTTTCAAAACTCGACTCTTGATCGGGCAGCTTGGTTTTCAGTGATGTTGCTTGCTGAGCGGGTTCCACTGTAGGCCCGACTCCCTCAGAGCCATCTAAATGTTATTTTGCTTTGCCAGGTTGCAGTTAAGCAGCTAGAAGGTCACAGTTGATTCCAGAGTCAACTGCTAAGTAAGCAGAGAGTGATGTGTTCTCAACCTAGTACAGGGTCTCCCTTCTTCAAATCAGGATTTTTTTTCAATGGCGTTTCGTACTCACAGAAGCCACAGAGACTCATGACAACCCTGCTAGCTAGTTCTAAAATCAAACCCACTCAGATTGGCCACAAGAGCCATGGAGTATACACTAGGGAATCGCATACAGGGAGAACAGAGCAAGGCTCTGCGGCTCACCCTAGGGTACCTAAAACATTCCCAAAGGATGGTAAGAAGCCATCTGGAGAGAAGTGCTACCTTAAAATGGATATAAACTGTGTCTACCGTAACAGATGCTGCCCGTGGCTACCCTTGACTAAGCTTGGTCACCCAAGCAGCTGTCAGAGCCCAGGATTGTCTTGAAAATGCATGCTTCCCCTCCCTTGACTGATGTGTACCCCCGAGGGGCCAGCAGTGCTGTGAGTTTTTCTGACACTCCAGAACAAAACTAATGACCCACAGTGACCTAGGAAAGCAGTGTTCCAACCAAGAAAGTTCTTGAGGCCTGAATGCAACTCTTGGTGAAGCTCAATTGAATGGCAAATGTCTCCTGAGTCGTGGCTGGCACTGTTTGTTGGTTCTGCCCACAGATGCCTTGCACTTGCCCCTAAGGACAGATGAGGGCCCCCACCTCAGCCCAGGGATCAACTGTTCTTTTCTTCTGTAAAATCAAAACTTGGAAATCACAGGTTTTTAACTCAAGTTTATATTCTTCAAGCCCGGACTAACATAAAGACCTAGGAAAAATTAAGCCTGACTCTTCCTACTGAACTCAGATGTGAGTTTTGAAAATTCGACAGTTTTTATTCTGAATCTCGCTTCTTCCCCTGAACCTGTGTTTCAAGGTGATCTGTCACTTAGTCACCTGGTGGCAATGTGAAGGGTTTTTTTTTTTTTTTTTTTTTTTTTTTTTTTGTATATTTGAGAAATGGCAGAAGGGAGGGCATATGGTAGCCGTGGGGATCATTCTTTGCGTTTTTCTCTCTCTCCACTATCTTCTCTCCACTAAGGGCTGAAGTTGTCACATCGGGTGGTGTCTTAGATTCTTTGTGTCTGTCACCATCTCACAAAGGCAGCTGAGTCTCCTTTTTCCTTCCACTTGTCATCTGCTCACCTGCGTTTTATAGTTCCTTTTGTGGGCGACATTCTATACACTGAGAGATAATGCCTCCAAACTCTCCAAAGAATTGCAAATTTCCTGTGTGTTAGAGGCCAGAGCTGGCTGGCTGGGAGTCACTTGTGAAATAGCTGTAATATTTCATAAAAAAATATCATAAATATCTGTAATACTGAGTTTAGACATTAGTCTCAGACACCCAGCAATGTCCCCAGAGCTTTCCTATCTTAGATGGAACAATAAGAGAATTAAGGCTTTGCCCCTTGTCTTGTTCCTTTCAGCATCTTTTGTGGCATACGGGACACAGACACACAGAGAAGGTTATCAACTCACAGTGTTTTTTACCTCCTCGAAAATTAAAAAAAAAAAAAAAAGATGGTTGTGCTTTTATTCTAGTTTTTAAAAAAAAATTTTACAAGATTTCTAAGCGGCGGGGGGGGGGTTGAAAACTAAGATACCTCTGAGAGGTGAGGCAGATGTAAAAACATGACCATGACCGTATGGCTTTATGGAAATTGGACGGCAGAGCGCAGAGCCACTAAAGCTGCATTTGTGAACCTCCACCTTAACATTTACAGGCGAAACGCACTTCTTGGCCCTTATCTCTGTTACAGCTGATGTTTTAGACTCTCCCTCACACAAAGAGGATGTCTGTTACCCTCATTTCCTACCTAGTGGGTCGTAGTCATCTTACTCTGTTTGGGGTTCGATTAGGTGGGATGGATATCATTTTTTTCTCTAATGATTTAAAAAAATAACTTGTTTAATCCGTGTTTTCAAAATATGAGGTAAGGGAGCTGGAGGGATGGCTCGGTCATGAAGACTGCCCTGCTCTTCCATAGGATGTGAGTTCAGATCCCAGCACCCACATCTGGTGACTCAACAAAACCACCTGTAACTCCAGCTCCAGGGGACCTGGCATGCCCTTAGGCCCTCCAAGGCCACCTGCACAGTTATGTGTGCACACACACACATGCAAATGCACACACATACACATACAAATGCATAACACATTTTTTTAGTAAAAATAAATTCAAAATACAAAAAAAAAATACAAAGTATCCTATTAAGCACTCTCTTTCCCCACCTTCCCTTTGACAAGTTCTTCTTGCTTCCGTCTGCAGCCTTTCCCAGTACAGCGACGAGAACATGATGGACCCTTACAATCTGGCCATCTGCTTCGGCCCAACGCTGATGCCTGTTCCAGAAATACAGGACCAAGTATCCTGCCAGGCACACGTGAACGAAATCGTGAAGACCATCATCATCCATCATGAGACCATCTTCCCAGATGCTAAAGAGCTGGATGGCCCCGTGTATGAGAAGTGTATGGCTGGAGGCGACTACTGGTGAGTCCATGGACAGGACAGAGTCCTCCCTCTCAAGGACGCATCGCTACTGACTGGATGATAAAAAGGGGTTTAATGGCCTTGCTGCTGAATCTCGACCTGAGTTCAGATCCCTAGCACCTACGTTACAGTTAGGTACAGCATTGTGTCTGTAACTCCAGCACTGAGGCGCAAAAGCAGAGGGTGCTGGGAGCTCACTGGCTATCCAGCTTCTCCAGACAGCGAACTCCAGGTTCAGTAAGAGACCCTGTTTCAAAACATAAGGGAGGAAACAGTAAAGGAAGACATTGGTCACAGGCTCTAGCTTCTCTGCACACACACATGAGCCACTACACCAGCATACACCACACACACACACACACACACACACACACACACACACACACACAAGGCTCTAGCTTCTTTCTATGTGCACATGCGTGAGCCACTACACCAGCATAAACATGCATATACCATATATACATACACATACACAAAATAAAATAAAATAAAATAAAATGAATTGCCCATAAGCTATCAATGCTTTTAAATTTTTTTAAAGAATAAACAGCAACAATAGCATTTAAGTTAGAACAGTGAAATCCATGGCAATGGGGCTTTATTATGGAAGCATACTGTCAGACTTTTGTAGATAATTTTGACCTATTTGGGCCTCTGTAAAGAATAAGGGCTTTTTGTTGTTGTTGTTGTTGTTGTTTTTTTAAGAGTTTGTTTATATAAGGGTGTGCTTAGCACTGCACTGGCCAGCCTGGTCTACATAGCGAGTTCCAGGACAGGCAGGGCAGCATAGAGAAATCTAAGAGAGAGACACAGAGACAAAGCCTAGGAATGTTGATGCCGGGGAGAGAGAGAGAGAGAGAGAGAGAGAGAGAGAGAGAGAGAGAGAGAGAGAGAGAGAGAGAGAGAGAGAGAGAGAGAGAGAGAGAGAGAGAGAGAGAGAGAGAGAGAGAGAGAGAGAGAGAGAGAGAGAGAGAGAGAGAGAGA